GAATCCCTTTTGGTATAACTTTTTTCTATACAGCGGAAAGAGCTCTGCTGACTCCTGTGTAGCCTCCCCCTGCCATGACTTAGAGTCTGGTAACCTTCATGGAATAAGGATGCAGCCCAGGCCAGCTGGCCTCACTGACTGCATGGGATGACGAAAGGCTAAGCTCTACTCTTGCATGTGTAGAGCTTCCAAATTTGATGTGGAGGGTGGAGCAAGGATGGGACTGGGATTCCCCTAAGGAAGCAAAACTCCATCATAAAACCCCCAAGGACCCTAACTAAGGTCCTGATATCATGCTTTCAAATCCACCCTTCTATCTAGACGTGGTGGGACACCCTATGATTCCAGCGCCCAAGAGACAGGAGGAAAGTGAGTTTGAATCTGGTGTGGCTGACATAATGTGATGAGACTCTGTCTCAAGAGCTGAGAAACCACTACCAACAGCCAAACTCCCACCTTTACCTGATTCTTCCAATGGCCTGGACAGGAAAGCATTCATCCATTCACTCATTCATTCATTTATTTCTCACTCATTCCTTTGCTGAGCCCCTCACACATTCAAGTTCCATTCTATTTAACAGGAGCACTTCTCTGAGATATCTATTACTCACTCCTCTGTGCAGATGAGGAAACCGAGCCTCAAAGAAGCAAAACCAGGCAAAACACTTCTGGGAACATACACGGCCCTCGGGATGAAACCACACCCTGTGCCCACATAGGGCACCTGCTGTCACCCTAGTGCTTTCTGCACAGCCTCTCAAGACAATCCCAATTTATGTGACAGCCACAGCATCCGCCTCTGCCTCACACACCTGCATGCACCGTCACGTCACGCTCCATGGCACCTGCCTTGTCTAGGTGTTGGGTGTGTTTTTCATGTCTTATTTCATGCGTAATTTTATTTTAAAACGAACTCCCAAGCTGAGCAAGGTGGCAACCCCCTGAAATGTGTAAACTGAGGCAGTCTGTAGACTGTGCCTCCCTGTACTTGAGAGGCACAGGCATGAGAATTTATGCAAGTTCAAGACCAGCCTGATGTACTTAGTGAGCTATAGGCCATTCAGGTCTATACAGCAAGACTCTGTCTCAGTCAACTGAAGAAAAAGCAAACAAAAACAAAAAGAAAGAAAGGAAGGAAGAAAGAAAGAAAGAAAGAAAGAAAGAAAGAAAGAAAGGAAGGAAGAAAGAGAGGAAGAAAGGAAGGAAGGAAGAAAGGAAGAAAGAAAGAAAGAAAGAAAGAAAGAAAGGAAGGAAGGAAGGAAGGAAGGAAGGAAGGAAGGAAGGAAGGAAGGAAGGAAGGAAGAAAGAGGAAATAGTTCCCAATGTTCTCAAAACTAGGTTTTGAGCCTGGGGATGGGGCTCAACTGGTGTAGTGCTTGCCTAATGAGGCCCTGGGTTTGATCCCCAACACCATTTAAAGCAGGTGTGGTGGTACATGCTTGTCATCCCAACACTCATCAGGGAGACAGGAAGGTCAGAAATTCAAGATCATCATCAGTTACATAGCTAGCTGGAAGCTAGCCTGGGCTACATAAAACCCTGATTCAAAAGGGAGTTTCTGGAGAGACGGCTCAATCATTAAGAGCCTTTACTGTTCTTCCAGAGGACCCAAGTTCAGTTTCCAGCATCCAAATTAGGTGGCTTACAACTGTTCAGGGGAATCTGATGCCCTCTTCTGGCCTCCATGGGCACCTGCACTCATGTGTGCATATCCACACAGAGGTACACACATACATACACAGTTTTAAAAAGAGATTTGCTGGAGACTTCAGGTGTTCTGCTCTTATTGGACAGTGTGAGCCTAGCTGGCTGTGCTGCTCCCACAGTCCCACCTACGGGGTCTCTCTAGCTGGAGCGTGCCTCGACCACTAGGACAGCGTTTATCATTTAATTCCACTCCCTCCTTGTACTTCCCAGCTTGCATTACTCTTGGCTCCCACGGGCAGCTGAGTTTGCAACGCCAGAACATGATTTTGATGACAGTCTCTCCTGGCTGCCCTTTGGCTCTGTGAGGCCCAAGCATGTTGTCACAGGGTCCCAGGGAACATCAACTGTCAGCACTCTTACATAAGAAGCCACCTGGGCAGTTTGGGGAGTAACTTCCAAAGACGGCCCAATCTATAAGAGGGGGAGCCAACTGAGGATGTACTCTCAGCTGGGCCCCATATCCTCAGGGCTGGGCACGTGCCTAGCCACAGCTCAGCTTAGGGACTGCTTCCCCTGACACCAGTGAGGACAGGATAGGTAGGAATGGTGCCGGAATCCAGCCTGTGGTGAAGATGGAAGTTTTCCCTGGCTCATTCAAGGGAAGAAAGTATGACAGAGTAACACAAAGGAAGGACAAGGAGGGAGCATTGTAGCAGCTACGGCTCTCAGTACTGCCACATCTGACCTCGGTCTGGCCTTTAGAGACCTCCGTGACTCTCCTCTCGTGGCATTTGCAGTTTATGTTCAAGATAAAGAAGATGCCCTAACTAACGCCAGCCTGGACGGTGGCTGACTCATTCTTCTCCCAGAATAACCTCTTCCCATTCATTGTACCCAGAGGTGGTCATATCCAGGCTGACTCCCCACGGTGGCAATCACCCCTCCCCATGTCCCCTGTGCTCCATGACTCCCGGTTACCTCCTTTTCTGTCTTCTTGTGCTGACCCTCCAAGACTTCTCCCCTGTCCTTTCCCCGTCTCGCTCCCCAGTGACAACCAGGAGGGTATGCCATGCAATAGCCCTGACCTTGAAGTCAGACAGACTGGTCTCAGCCCAACACACTGCCCCTGACAGTTCACTGCTGCAACGTGGGGCCTGGGAAAGGGGGCTGCTTCCTGGACTGAAAAGCTGGTGGGTGAGGTCTGAGGCTGGGGGAGGCAGGGGGAGGGGAGGGAGTCGTGTGCATGAAGGCAAGTTCTCTTCTGGGGTGGGATTGTGCATACTTTTTCACAGTAGGAGATAGACTGAACCCCCACCCCCCACCTCTGAAGCCTTGAAAGAACTAGTTTTCTCAGTTCCCATTTTGAGTATGTTAAAGACTATGGGAGCCAAGGCCTAGAACTGGCTGCAGGAAGCCTGGGGCTTTTGGATGCTTTCTAGCAGGGCCTGTGTGGTCATCCCTCTCTACTCCTGTGAAGTGTACACTGCTGCTACCTAGACGTAGACCGTGCCAGTGGTTCAGGCAGAGGAGAGGACAAGTGAGCTTTCCATGCAGGCTGCTCACTGTGGTGTCCACTGACAAAAAGTGGGGGGTTGTGCTGGAGAGATGGCTCCGTGGTTAAGAGCACTGGCTGCTCTTCCAGAGGACCCGGGTTCAATTCCTGGCTCCCACATGGCAACTCAAAACTGTAACTCCAGTTCCAGGAGGTCCTACACCCTCACACAGACACACACATGCAGGCAAAACACTGATAAAGCTGGTGGGTGAGGTCTGAGGCTGGGGGAGGCTGGGGAGGGGAGGGAGTCATGTGAATGAAGGCAAGTTCTCTTCTGGGGTGGGATTGTGCATACTTTTTCACAGTAGGAGATAAATGAAATGAAATAAATAAAATGAAAAGAAATAAATTGGGTTTTGTTGTTGTTTTTGTTGTTGTTTCAAGACAGGATTTCTCTGTGTGGCTTTTGGAACCTGTCCTGGAACTCACTTTGTAGACCAGGCTGGCCTCGAACTCACAGACAGCACTCTGCCTCCCAAGTGCTGGGATTAAAGGCGGGAGCCATCACTGCCTGGCTTGAAAATAAATAAATTGTTAAGAAAAAAGAGGGCACTCTGTGGGGTTGGGTGAGCTCCACCCCTAGACTGGGGCTTGGGAAACAACCTGTCAGGCTAGTAGCATAAAGCATTGGGCTGACAAAGCATTGGGCTGTGAACCCTCACAAGAGGGGTCAGGCAAGCCTGTGTATGTGTGAGGCAGGGAGCATGCCCTGACTTCATGGATTTGCTTGGACCAGCCTGGCTGCTGGATGCCTTCCCACAAGCTGACTCTTAGATGGGGCAGGCCAGGCTCCCCTGCTCCCGAGGCTCAGCTCCTCTCCTTCTCTTATCTCTTAGGCCTGTTAAGACTTTGCAGTAGAGATCCCCCACCCCCACGCCACCCCAAACTGTATTCTGAAGCCATACCCGCATCGGTCAGTCTTGGCTTATGCCCATCACTGTTGCCTATGGAACAGCGTTTAACACTGAACAAATGCTTCTCTCATTTATTTATCCCTAGAATGGGTGTGAAAAAAAAATCAGGGTAAATTTCTCATTGCTCCCTTGCAGAAGGACTGGTGCAAGCCAGCAGCAGGGAACCAGGGTTCCCTAGTCCTAGCTAGAGCTTTTTTCTCTCTGAGCCTCAGTTTCCCAACTGTAAAGTATGGTGTTGGCCCACGTGCCCTGGTTTGCTGGCATTCATTTGCTTCCCAGGCTGCTGTTACGCACAATTAACCAGGGCTTAGATCCCTGGCTGTGGCTCTCTTGCAGAACTTTTCCTTCTCCATCATACACTGCCAACTTCTGGCATCTCTTAAGACTGGTTGCTTAAGAAGTTACTTAATCCAGCACCTTCCTGGCCTGGCTGGAGGTGGTGGGAATAAGGACTGCCATCCTGGGACTGAAGCCTGGCAGACGCACCATTGAGCAAGCCGCATTTTCAGTCCTGCTGGCGGAGGGTCAGATCTCTAGAAGCAAACGGAGATGGATTCAGCCCAGGGTCCGCAAGTCTGAGGCCACTTGTGGGTGTCTTGGAAGGTCTCTCCGCTTATCTGTTCTTTCTGTTATCTTTCCCTTTCTAATCCACCTCAGATCCCCTCGTCTTTCTGACTCCCAGGGTCAGCATCTCTCTGGAGGCGCTCTCAAACGACTTCCCACCTCCCTGTGCTTAGATGGAGGCGGGGGGGAGGGCATGACACACGAACTGATTGCGCTGCCCGATGAAACCAGCAGGGGTCGCTAGCGAACAGGCTCCGAGGGGGCGGGGCGGAGGCGTGCGTGAGGGGGCGTGGTCCCGAAGCCAGCCGGCCAATAAAGGCGGCGGCGCGTGGCCTAGGTATCGCTTCCTGGGTCGTGTGACCTTGGTGGTGGCTCCTCTGAGTTCTTCCGCGCGCTTCGCCCGACCCGCGACCCGCGATGCTGGCGCTGCGCTGCGGCCCCCGCCTGCTCGGCCTGCTCTCTGGCCCGCGCGCCGCGCCGCTGCTCCTCTCCGCGACCCGCGCCTGCAGCGACAGCGGAGCACGCGACCCGAACTCCTCCTCCTCCTCCTCCTCCTCCCGGAACCCGCTCGTGTACTTGGACGTGGGCGCCGATGGGCAGCCGCTCGGCCGCGTGGTGCTGGAGGTGAGGACCCCGGACCCGACCAGCCCGGCTTGGGCAAACCTTACTACTCGGGTCCCGTTCTAGAGTACCTGGCACGCCGGGTGACCTTGGGCCCCTCACTTCCAAACCCTGGGCCTCAGTTTCCTTGTCTTAGAGAAGCGACATCAGTTTGGTCTGTTCCAGGGCGCTTCAACACCCTAAGGAGTGAAGTTGAGAGGGAGAGCTGGTGTGGAGGGAAAAAGTCAAGGTCAGATATCTCTGAGTGACAGCCCACTGGCGGGCCGGGGCCGAGGTTGGGTTTCCGAGACCCTCTGCGTCCGGGGCTGGACCCAGGGCTGGATCCAGGGCTCTAGGTGGGCCAGGCGTCTGAGGCCCAGGTGTTGCCCGGTGCTCACATAGTGGCCTGCCTGAGTTTAAGGCCCAGCGCACTCCGGACCCGCCCCCGAGGCCTGGCTCCTTAGGAAGAGGCACCTGGGAATGCAAGCGGGGGTGTGGGGGTGTGGTTCGACGGGGAGCCCAACCCTTTCCACTCTCTGAGGTCCACACTCCGCTCTAGCTCCTGTTCGAACCTTAAAAAAAGCAGGAAACCGTCAAAAGTTGTCGGGAGGCCCTAGTGCTGCCTTCAGGCTGTTCCACTTTTAAACAAAGGGACCAGTTAGTGTTGACTGACCGATTTATTGAAGGGGGGCTGGCATTTATTGTTACGCCTCACTTTCCCCTTGTGGAAGACGAAAAGTACCTCCCTAACTCCATTTGGTGAAGAGAGATTTTTGTTGTTGTTGTTGTTGTTCTGTGTAGCTCTGGCTGTCCTGGAACTCACTCTGTAGACCAGGCTAGCCTTGAAATCAGAGATCCACCTGCCTCTGCCTCCTGAGTGCTGGGGGAAAGGCATGTGCCACCACCAAGGCATTCTTAAGAGAAGCTGAGAGGCAAGAGGCTGCAGTCATTCCTTAACTGTCCCCTCCTTCCCTTCTGTGAGCCTCAGTTTCTCTCTGCACTGAGGAATGGCAACAGGTTCTACTATGATACTCTTGGTCCGGGGACCCATGCTTAGGGCCTCCAACTGCCAATTCTGTCCCCGGAAGTGGGCCAGGATGACACTGGTCTCTTCTGATAGATAAGAAACTGAGGCTGCCTCCAGCAAGCCTTAGGTTCAGGAAGCAGCTGGCAGAAACGATAGCTGTTCTAGAAGGGTTGGTGGTCACAGGAGAGGCATGGTCCCTGTGGTTCTTTCTCACGATGCCTTGGCCACTGGGTGTGAGTGGTCGGGGGCTCTGTCCGGCACCGGCTTCTGCACTAACCACTCTATTTTGTTCCTTTTCCTTCCCGTAGCTGAAGGCAGATGTCGTGCCCAAGACAGCAGGTAAGGCAGAGGTGGAAAGGGAGCCAGACGAGGCTGATGGGCTTGGGGTTGGAGTGAGGGCTCAGACTACGACAAGGTGGGGGTTTCAGCCTAAGCCCAGCTGCTGGGTTCCCCGAGGCAGCCTTTGTCCGTCTCTGGGCCTTGCTGACAGCTCTGCTAACCAGTCTGAGAGTAGCTGGACAGCTCGGAACCAGGGGGAAGGCCCGTGTAAGCTCCCAGAGATAGCTTCCAACCCCCTTCTGCCCGATGGCACAGGGCAGGGTTAGATACATAGTCTCTGGGCTGCTTGCCATGTGATCTTGGCTGGCACAGCTTAGAGCTTGTATTCTAGTCCTAGTGTTTGCTACTGGGTCACAGCGGGGAAGTATGTGATTGGGGTGGACTCAGGAGGAGGGGCGCGGTCTTTCCATACACATAGCTCACCTGGGGGGTTGGCGGGGAGGGCTGGCCTGCCCTTAACCTGCCTCTCCCTCTTTCTTCAGAGAACTTCAGAGCCCTGTGCACCGGTGAGAAGGGCTTCGGCTACAAAGGCTCCACCTTCCACAGAGTGATCCCAGCCTTCATGTGCCAGGTAACGGTAACACGGCCTCCGCTGTGAACAGAGCTGGCACCGGAGATGCCCGGGGGGTGGTAAGGATCACTGGTAAGCAAGCAGGGGCCTGGTGCATGGAAGGGACACAGAAGTCTGCTGGTGGGGGTGGACCTTAAGGCTCTGAAGGTTTCTCCGGTCCCCCCGGCCCTACGGTCCCACCGCCGCTTATACAATAATCACTCAGAGGCTTAATATTAGTTATCAACTATATGGCCTATGGCAGGCCTCTTGCTAGCTAGTTCAGTTTAACTCAACCCATAACTATTAATCTATGTACTGCCACGTGTTCCGTGGCTTTACCTGCATCTCGTTACATGTTGTTCCTAGGATGGCAGTGGGTGTCTCTCCCGCCTCTGCCCCTCTTCTCTCTGTCTCTCTCCTTGCATTTCCCACCTGCCTCTAAGCTGCCTTGCCATAGGCCAAAGCAGCTTATTTATTAGCCAGTGGGGATAACATATAGTCACAGCGTACAAAAAGACATCCCCCAGCAGCCACCAGAATTGGACAGTCTCTAATCTTGGCATTCTGTGTGCCCCTGAGCATTGGGCATGGGAGAAGAGGGGATGGGAGGAAGATGGCTAAGTCAGGATCACACATGCCTGGACTTGGAGGTGCCTTCCTGCTAAAGGGCCTTTTCCCTGTTAAATGAACACACTCTGTAGGCACCTGTTCTTGTTTTACAGACATGGAAGTATGGCTGTGTGAGGTTTGGGGATAGGTGTTAATAACAAAAACTTCTTGGGCAGACTCGAGGTCAGGGGTTAAGGTGTGGAGACCAGAAGAGCTAGAGATGGGCATAGATGGCATGGCCTCTCTGAAGTCCTTTCTGCCTATGTGGGTTGGGGCTGTGCCTGCTGACACTCTGTTGTGCCTGGTTACATATTGGGTGTGACAGAGGCAGACAGATGAACCTACCCAAGCCCTGTGACCTTTCTGCTGCAGAGAGGGTGGTGGCTGAGGTAGGCACTAAGGTGGGTATCTGGAGTCAGGAAGGGACTTACTCCATAAGGCTTGGAGTAGTGGCCTCTGGAGGCACAGGCAAGGTGACTGGGGACATCCTATTGGTGTCTGTGGATGCTTTAGCTGGAGAGGGCAGTTTGTACCTCTCTCTCAAGGGTCCTGTCTCAGAGAAACCACCGTGTGGCCATGACTAACAACTGGGCACAGAACTGCTCTTGTACTCTTCTCGGCAAGAACTCCATGCAGGTCTTTCCAGGCTACCCAGACCTTGGACAGGCTCTAAGGAAGGTTCCCAGCCCCTGTGCGCCATGTGTCTACAAAACCTTTGGGCTCGAGCTTGGGGAGGTTGATGCTGGGGCAAAGGAGGACACTTAGCCTGGGGAACTGGCCTTTCCCCCAGCCCATCTCTGAGACCAGGACCCCTGATCACCTGCTTGTGACTCTTAGGAATTGAGGGTTGAAAATCAGAATATCTCAGGCATGTAGATTACTGAAAAACTAGCTCAGATAAGAAGCCAGACTTGTTAGGGTGGGGCTCCAGACCCAGAGGCTTGGTTTCAGCTTTGCCCGTTTTATCTCAGGCACTCGATGGTTGTTGGCCCCTTTGCCTGTGGGTGGGCCTTGGGTGGGTTGGGGCTGCCTTCTTAGGGGACCCACACTGCCAGCTGTGTGGTAACCAGTTACAAGGTGTATTGCTGTGTACAGGCCGGCGACTTCACCAATCACAATGGCACGGGAGGGAAGTCCATCTACGGAAGCCGCTTTCCCGACGAGAACTTCACGCTGAAGCACGTGGGGCCAGGTATGTGTGACTGTGAGCCCTTCTCTAGTGTCCTCTGCGGTTCCGTACCATCTGGATGCTGCCGCTCGGCTGCCCAGGGAAGCTGTGGTCCACCGTTGCCTGACATCCCGTCGTGCTCCTTAGCATCTGTTAGCATCCAGGCAGTTCAGCATTTCTAGCTTATTGGGTTTCCCTGTGGCTTTCTCATTTGTAACTTCGTAAAAAACAGACTTTCGACTGTAATTCCAGCACTTGGGAAGCTGAAACAGAAGAACCCAAAGGTTGAGGCCATCTTGGGCCACACAGTGAGACTTGTTTCAACAAACAAAAAACAAACTTCCCGATGGGAACTTGAGTCTTTAAGCAGAACCCAGGGCGGAGTGTGGAGAGCCTAGAGGCCATATCTGGGGTTCCAATCAGCTCTCACACTGAGATCCCTGAGGTCCTTCCATCCCAGCCTGCCCATAGAAAGCTGGCTGGCAGTCAAGGCCCATGAGCTCCAGGGTCCGGATGTTAGTTAGCACTGGTTCTCTCTGGTTCCAGGGTCTGCCGGTTCACTTGTCCTTGATGAGTGTGAGCCGTCTGTTCTTCCAAGAGCATCTCCGATGAGGGGCCTCCTGGGTGACACAGCCCCGCTCTGCTTTGTCTTACAGGTGTCCTGTCCATGGCGAATGCAGGCCCTAACACCAACGGCTCTCAGTTCTTTATCTGCACAATAAAAACGGACTGGTGAGTAGTCACATCGTAGGACCGCTAAGAATGGAACCAGAGGAGGTCTTTGTACAGTCGGGAGGGCAGTGTGCAGCTGGAGCACCTGCTCTGGTCCGGCGACTGCTTCTCACGGTTACTGAGGGACAATTTGGGGTGTCCTGTGACTGTGTCACACCTGTGCTTTCCAGGGCTGCTGTTGGCTACACACGCACAAGAGGGTTCCTCTACCTCACATTTGGGGAAATGCTTCAATAAGTGACCTCATGGTGGGTGGTCTGAGTAGAAGCCATTTTGTCTGGCTTAACCTGATGCTTCCTTGGCTTGCTTCCACCACAGAATGTGCTTGTGGAATCCTGGGTACTGAGGCAGGTTTCCCTCAAACATCGTTAGCATGGCTGCACATGGCTCCCCAGCCCCTTCATGCCTCTTTCCCACAGGCCTGTGCTGTCTAGGAATGCCTTTTCCCTGGTAAAACTTGCACTAAGCAGTACCTTTCTCTGCATCGAGTCCTCAGTGTTGCAGACCTCAGGTCCCTGGCCTTGAGGGGCAGTAGCTGACTGAGAACTTTAGAAAGCCTGTTTTCACGACGTTAAGGAGACCTAAGTGGCAGGATGACATTTGCCAGCCTCAGCCTGTCATTGCTGGCTCCATCCTCTTTGCTCCTTCCATGGAAGCTGTAATGGGCCTTGCAGTCCTGCCCCCAGCTGTCATCATTCTTGGCTTTGCTGGAGTTAAGTCCCTTTTCTGTCCTTGGAAGTCACAAATCAAGAGCTGCTCAACACCTCCAGGTTTCTTGTGCTTGTCCTGGCGCTCAGTTTTCCTGCTGAACTAGTCTATTTGTACAGATGTCTTGCTTTTTTGCATAGCTCTGTGCCCATCATTTTCCTAGGTGGAAAAAGAACAGCTCACTTCTCATAGGTAAGGTCACCAAGGTTCAGATCAAGCCGCCAGGTCAAAGGTGACAGAACACGTCCTGGGAGTCTGGCATCTGCTGGAGTGCGGCTGGGAAGCTCACAGAGCTTGATTAAAGGGGTTCTCTGTAAGAATTAGTACCTTTGGTGAATTCCGTACTGGGTGGCCAAGGTGCTGCGTGTCTTCTCACTTGGCTCAACCCTCCTTGCAGGCTGGATGGTAAACATGTTGTGTTCGGCCATGTCAAAGAGGGCATGGACGTTGTGAAGAAAATAGAATCTTTCGGCTCAAAAAGTGGGAAGACATCTAAGAAGATTGTCATCACAGACTGTGGCCAGTTGAGCTAACTCACAGCCAAGATGCTAGGACAGGAGCAGCCAGCCATGTGTTAATTGGCCCAGGTGCTCCGAGCACAAGTGCCCACGTCCCCTGCTGAGTATGAAGAAGGTCTTTCATAGGACTAGACTGCTCTCAACGGTCCATCCTTCCTCAGATCCTGTTTCTGGGCATCAGTGTGGCCATCAGGCCATGCACCCTCAGAAAGAGGCCCCGTGATTGCCGTTCGAGTGTGCCTTGGGCATTGGCATCGCTGACCAGTTAGCATCCAGGGACTTTTTCCTTGACCAGTGGGGACAGCAGTTGGGATTTAATGTTGTCTTCCTCATTGCAATAATTTCATAAGATCTCATAGAAACGACACTGTGACACTAACTGCACTGTACTGTGTGTGACCTGAGTTGGCACAAACCACAACCCCCGAGCCTGGCTTCTGAAACATAACTCAGGGCTCTTGTGAAAGTCTCAAGATCAATGCATTTCCTCCCGGTTACTGTGAATCCTGCTGGTTGGCTGCTGTGACTTTTGAAGGGAGCCTGTGGGATAGGAGCAGCTGGACCTGGGGCAGACCTGTGAGCTGGGGCTGTCTGCTCAATGTGAATTCCTGTGCTGAAAACAGCCCGTGTGCATACTGTCCTCAGGAGGAACGCGTTCCTGGCAGGCTTTGCTTTTTCTGTATGTTAAATAAATCCAGTCTATCAATGATAATATATGTAAAAGATTCCTGGAACAGTCCTTTGTGTGATAATAAATCCTATTTTCTATAAAACTGCTATCTCTGGCTTTAGAAAGAAATCTGAAACACAAGTGGGGTGTGTTTGTTTTTATGTTTGTTTTGAGAAAAGATCTTGCTGTGTGGTCCGGACTGGCCTAGAACTTGCTGTGTATCCTTGGCTAGCCTCAAACTCTCGTGATCTCCTGAATGCTGCTGGGATTACTGGCATGTACCATTGTATCCAGTTGGAGCCAACTTTCCAATTCCCATGTGTCAGGTTTGGTGCTTTGAACTGGTTTTTCATTTGTTCCTGCTGCTAGGGTCTGTGTGCATACACGGCCCACCCTCAGCCCTCTGCTGAGGAGTTTTGTGTAGAACATCCCAGTTACTAGTGCAGAGACCTAGGAGACACTGTTGTTGCCATCTGTGCTGTGGAGATGATCCAAACAGGCTCGTAGTCTCCATACTCCCCGCCAGGAGCTCTACTCCGAGGCAGAGTCCAGCTCTGCTCAGTGACCAAGCTTCAGCTTCCCTCAGGTGCATAACATGTGTGTGACACCTAGATCTCAAACTGGGTGTGGGCCATGTCAGGTGCATGGCCTTGGGCCTGATGTCATCCTAGCAAGCTCTGGGTAATGACGAGAATGACACTTCCCATGTATCAGATCCTTAGGAAAGGGGTCTTGCCTAAGCAAAGAGCTGACGTCACTGAAAGTTAGGGGTGTGTTTCCCTGTCCATGCTGGGCCTCTGAAACTGGGAATTCTTCATATTGCTGAATTCTCAGGAAGGGCAGGATTGGGGCAAGCAGATGACTAAGAATTTCTTTAGGTGGGCAGGGACATGGCAAGTCAGTAGCTCCTAGAGAAGGGATTTGAGCTCTGGCTGGGGTGAGTAATGCCTTCATTTGGTATGGAATTCCTGAGTCAGTGGTGTGAGGTTATGGGTGGGCCTGGTCACGCTGAGGTCATAGTGGCCAGGCTGGGTCCTTCAGGGTCACAGAGTTTCCATGAAGTCAGAGCTCTGCTCCATGGGTTGGGAGTTTGACTAGACAAGTAGTTTCAAAGCAGTTCTGAGCACATCAGCCATCCTCAGGACACCCAGGTGTGGACCCTGGGGCCCGTGTCTCCACGGTACTCTACAGTTCTTTCTACAGTGGGGCTGCCGAGGGATTTCTCTTGAGAAGCAGACCTCGGCTGAGTAATAACTGGCATTGCTCATGCAGTACAACAGCTTGCAGTTGGGTAAACTGAGGCTACAGGCTGGATTGAGATTAATCTGGTCAAGACAGTTGGCAAAGGGCAGAACCCTGAGTTCTTGGTAGTGCAGAAAGTACACACAAAAGGATTCTTAGCAGGTCACACAGGCACTTTACCACTGAGCCCTGACCCCCAACACCTCTCCTCACCTTTTTGTTTATTTTCCATAACGGCCTTGAAGTTGCTCTATAGCCCAGGCTGACTTTGAACTTGTGATTCTTGGGCCTCAGCCTCTTGGGTACCTAGGATTATAGGCCTGTACCCAGCCCCTGCCCCCTTTAAGCAATTTACTTTAAAAATAAAGTGTTTTTAAAACATCTATTTATTTATAGATCTATATATTTACTGATTTTACGATTTATGTTACTTTTTTCTGGTGCTATGGGGTGAAGTCTGGGCCTTGCCGATGTAAGTGGATGCTCTGTCAGTGAGCTGTATAGGTCAAAGATGTGCTGTCGCTGTCTCTGGAGTGGCCTGCTGACCTGGGGGGCTCCAGGTACCAGTGACAAGTCGAAGGGAGAGCCAGCCTCTTTGAGCTGTGCCCTGCCTACTGTCAATTTCTAGGGGGTCTCAGAGATAAAAGGTGGCAAGGCTTGTGTTTTTTTCTCACTGAGAATGTGTGTGCTGTGTCTCCATCCAGCGGAATCTAGGGGTACAGCAAGCATGCAAGAATTTTCTAGAACCCTCTCCCCAAAGGCAAAGGCAAGGTCATCTTCTGCAGTCCTCTCAGCACTGCAGAAGGCCTAATAAGCTTTTGGGGGGGCGGGGGGTGGTGGTGTGCAGCACCGTTTAAAGTGACACCCTGGCTTGTTGCTGGCCAGTATCTCTCAGTACCTAATGCGGACATCAGTAGCCCTCAGTATCTAATTCATACAAAAGAGGTGAGCCTGCATGTGCTTCCTAGATGCCATCATATGGGACACCTTGTGTTTTCAAAAGCCCAAAACATCAGTTTTCTGAGTTGCATGACAGCTTTTCAGAATGACGTCACTGAGATAAAATTTGCATATAGTAAAATTCGCACATTTGAATTGTCCCATCAATGATTTTTGAAAACCACATCTCCTGAGTAATGACCGTCATTTCAAACACAAAAGCTCACTGTCTCTTCTGAACCTTCCCTCTACCTCTTTGTAGGTAGCCGCTGAGTTCTGTCACCCGTTCTAGGACTTGGTGTGGAAATGGTGTCAAACAGGAGCCACTGTTTTGGACCTGATGTCACTAGCCTAGTGCATGTGAGACTAACACAGTGGTTCTCAACCTGTGGGTCGCGACCCCTTTGGGGTCGACTGACACTTTCTCAGGGGTCATATATCAAATATTTACATTATGATTCATAACAGTAGCAAGGTTATAGTTATGAAACGGCAACGAAAATACTTTTATGGCTGGGGGGTCACCACAACATGAGGAACTGTATTAAAGGGTCGCAGCATTAGGAAGGTTGAGAACCACTGCTCTAACACATATCTGGGTTCTGCAGGACTTTGCATCATGAAAAGCAGTTTCTGCAAATTTTTCCTAGGTGTAATAAGGCCTGGGGCTCACAGGGTCCTGCAGTGCCTGAGCTGCTTTCTTGAGACTGGTTTTTACCGGAGCTGGTTTTAAACTCCTGCACTCAAGAGAGCTTACGCTTCTGCTTTCTATATAGCCAGGACTGTGAGTAAATGCTGTGGGACACAGTAAAAGACACTTGCACTTTGCTCTCGAGTCATTTATTTATTTACTTGCTTATTTATTTGTGTGTGTGTGTGTGTGTGTGTGTGTGTGTGATGGCACTGGGGATCAAACTTAAGGCCTTACACAAGTATTCTGCCACTGAACTATAACTTAGCCCAGCTGTGGCCTACTGAATTCAAAACCAACTGTGATTTAGCTCAGGGGATGCTAGACTAGCTTAACATCAGAGAAATCAAGTAATAGAATATTGTGATTTCATATATATATGAATATTCTAATTACATATATTAAAATAAAACCCAAAAGTTACAGAATTTAATACTACAGAAGAAACATTTGTAAAACACAGAAACAGTATCAAGCTGCCTTCTAAACACTTCTCCTTATACAGACTAGTGCAACCCTCACCCCTCATGGGAGAAGCCTCTTTATGCAGTCATAAAGGACATCCGTCAATCCGGACTCACAACTGGTCAGAGTACAGAGAATATTTGACTGTGGAATGCTCAGCCTTAAATGGACATCTGTATTACACTCCCTCCCCATTTGGCTCAGGGAACATGTAGAAGATGAAACGGAAGGATTGTATGGATTTATATGTATATTTCTATTATATTGGAATATGATGCCATTTTGAGATTTAAAAAAACCCAGGCTGCTGAGGTGGCTCTTCAGATAAACAGAGCCTTGCCACCAAGCCCGATGACTTACCTGTAATCCCTAGAGCCTTACACACAATGGAAGGAGAGAACTGACTCCTGCAAGTTGTTTTCTGACTCCACATATGTGTTGTGGGACATGAGTGTGCTTATAACACCCATACACAATAGATAAATGTTTTTAAAAAAGGATTATAAATGTCTAGTAAGCACATGAGAATCATTAGCACCATAAATCATTAGTCATCAGGGAAATGCAAATCAAAACTGCAATGAGATACTTCACACCCATTGGGATGGGTAATATTAAAAAGCCGGATAGTAGTAAGTGTTTGCAAGGGTGTGGACAGTCTAACCTTCATGCACTGATGGTCCAGCCAACGGTTCCCTCAAATGATTAAACAGAGTCACCATTTACCCAAGAGAAATGAAAACGTATCCACACAATAAGTTGTGTGGCTGTTTAAAGTGCGGTTACTAGTACTGACCAAAAGTTAAAGACAGCCTAAACGTCCATCTTCATGAGTTGAGCTGTGCCTGCTTACAAAAGATTATCACAGCTGAGCTTGTTGACTGTTGATATTCCGTTATAGAAGGAGGGAATGGGGTCGGAGGGCAGGGGAGATGTCATGGGACCCCTCTCCTGAGTATCCAGCCACTTTCCCTAACTGGTTGTGTGCCGCTCTACCCTAATTGAACATGGCTTCAGGGTCTCAGGAAGGGACTAGGGTATAAGCTGGGGAGGACTGAAAGAAGGGGACCTCCATCTGGGAAGCCACATGGAAGCCACAAACCTATGTTAGACACACATCTTCCACCGTGGCTACTTAGGGCCACCCACACTCTGGCCCATAATTTCTCTCCCATGCTCTGTAAGCAATCCTAATAAACTCATTGGTTCCCGGGGTGGATCTCTGGTGGAATCAAACTCTGGTTTGCCATTGGGATTATAAACGGAGAGGAGAGGAATTACTTAGTTATTCCCAAGGCAAAAATTAACAGCATATGAGTATGTGAGTATCTTCAGAGGCCAGAATCCCCAGGAGTTAGTTAGAGTTGCATGTGGTTGTGAGCCATTAGACATGGGCATTGGGAACTGAACTCAGGCCCTCTGCAAGAGCAGCAAGCACTCCATATTGAAATGTTCAAGAATTGGCTCTGGGCATGGTCGCATATGACCATGACCATATTAACAACCATTTGATGTGTGAATTGTATGGAATGTGAACTGTTTCTTACTCAGTCTGCTTAGAAAGATGTCTTAGCAGCATCTTCTAATTCTTTTGGTATGCAAGATGATGCTTCCGGGATCCTTCTGTCCTGGACGATGCTAACATTTGACCCATGTATGAGCTCTGTGGAGGGTCTTCAGTGTCCTCTTTCTAAGTGCATTTCATGGTATTTTAAAAAAATGATTTATGGGGCTGGAGAGATGGCTCAGTGGTTAAGAGCACTGACTGTT